ATCGATTGAAGTTTTTAGAATCGATTCTCATCCCTAGCATGATACCGCATGATATAAATTCTCTTTTTTCTGTTTCATTTCGAAAAAAATCAGTATGTTTCTCGAATTTCGGTCGCGACCTTGCTCGTCTTTAAGGTTCATTCATTTTCTTTTCAGAATTTTTCGGAACCTTTGAAATTCCTATCCCTTAATTCCGCACGGCATTATGCTCTCTGGTATAATTACGCGGCCTAACCAAAACATATAAAATTCTTGATGGGCAAAAATGCGCATGAAACGAAAAAATGTGCATAAATGCGCATTCATGCGCATGTTTCAGGTATCATGATACCCATCTCTAGACTGTTTCTTGACGGAATTCGACTGGAGAATATGCTACACGAGGTTTGATATCTACAATATCAACTATGTGTATAACCTTTAAGTTGGAATGCTTCGCTCTAGACGTGGAGGCTTGGTCCGAGTTTTAGGGTTACTTGGGCTTTAAATGGTTGTCGCTCAATTCCCCGAAAACTACTTACCCGACAGTCCATTTACCCGATATCACCCAGGGTGACAATTTGGCATTTAATTAGCTATAGACATATTTTATTTGTAAATTTTCACCTCATGTGATGCCGGGTAAATAGACTTTCGGGTAAATAGTTTTCGGGGAATCGTACCGTAACTCTTTAAATAGGTGCTTGGGGTAAGCTTTATTTTTCTTATCGGTTCTTCACTTTTTCGAATACTTAATTATTTCAATCTTTCACTTTATCAATTCTCTTAGTCACGTAGCACGTGAACGGCCTTGTTTGGATTTTATTGCCAATTTTACTACGTATCAGTTCTTATCACGGTTATTTTATTTTTTACAAAAAGTGAAACTTTTGGACTCAAGACATCTACTTATATTAATTTCGAAATTTTATATACTAGTGTATGCATTTTGAACAGTACATCTATTATATTCGTTACATTCACTATATTTGATTTAGATATTCTAATTTAGAGGCTCAATATCTCAGCCTGGCCCAGCATATATTAATTTAAAATTAAATTTTGCTTTTTTTTTTTTTTTTTTAACTTTGAACAAAGATAAAATATCCACTTGGTCAAATTTGATATAAATTTTTTTTATTTAATCTATAGAATTAAAATAAAAAAATTTGATCAAGTAGTTACCGATACATTTATTTTAATAAATATTTTAAATTATTTACTAATTTTAAACAAAGATATTTTAATATCTAACTAATTAATTTTAAAAATTTTTTTTTCAAATTTTACAAACTTGTATAATTAAAATAAACCAAATTTTATCAAATTTAATTTAATAGATATTAAAAATATTTTTTATTTAAAGTTTTAAAAAATTTTGAAATAATATTAATTTTAATAAATATTTTAAATTATTTATAATTTTAAACAAAAATATTTTAGTATCTTATTCAATAAAATTTTTTTAATAAAATTTTTTTTATTTGAATTTTATAGAATTATAAAAAATTTATTAAAGTTTATTAAATAAGTACCAAAATATATTTAAAATTTAAAACTTTAAATTATTTCAATTTTAATTAAATATTTGATTAAATATATTTTGACAACTATCTAATCAAATTTGATAATTTTTTTTTTGTTTGAATTTTATAGATCTGTAAAATTAAAATAAAAACAATTTTATCGAATTTGGTTAAATAAATACTAAGATATCTTTATTTAAAGTTGAAAAAAATCACAATTTTACAAGGAAGTATAGTTAATAAATTTAGGGGGTATAAAAAATAGGACCCATAAAAAATTTGTAAATCTTAAAACTACAAACAAAAACAGTAACTTTAAAAACAATAAGATTGTATACCGAAACTAAAGTTTTGTATGACAATATAAATAATAACAATATCGATATACAATAATAATATATAGTTGACTCTAATAAGTGCACTACGATCCTTATAAAAAAAAAAAAAGGTATCTTTATACTTAGATGGGAATTCCCAATTATAAGGCTTTGGGAAAAAATAAGGTAGCATTTAGAGATACCAGGCTTAAGGGTCTATCCTTAAACGTCTAGACAATCTACCATTACAATATAGTATAAATATGCACAATACAGTTTCTATAGTCATTCAAATCGCTATTCTTGTGCTACGCATGCATAATTTCATCACTAGATCGCAACAATGAAATGGGACAACTGCATAAATTTCCCATATAGATAAAAATAAACTATACATATATGATATGGAAAAAGTAGATTATTATATATATATATATATAAGCTTTAAAAAAAAAAAAAAAAACGTACGATCCTTTTTCAAAAAGTGAGAATAATGAATTCTTATACTGAGACAAGTTTTAAGACAGAATCTCAAAGTTCACTTCATCAGAATAATGATGTGATAACTACTTCAAAGAAATTTTTTAAAATTGATATGCATACGTTAGTAATATTTTAAACGTTTACCACATTTTATATTTTTTATTGTTCTTTTTTTTTTCTTTCTTTGCCTTTTTAAGGTATCATTTTTTCTTTTTGCTAATTTTTGAAAAAAAAAGGCATATTCTTCCAAAGCATTGGCCTGATCTTAAAAAAAAGTATGGATACGGTGGATGGGTACAGCTAAATCATCATGAACCGGTAAAATTCTTTTTAAGAACTAGATTGATCTTAAAACAGTTGTTTACATAATATTTATATATCTTTTTTAGGGTAAGGCAAGAATGATCATTGATGGGAAAAATTTTCGTGAAATTCAATGCAATTGTTGGTCCGCGGATGAAAGAGTACGAGAATGTGATAATACAGGTGTTAACGTACAGGTATATTATTTAATTCATAAAATATTTAACATATTTTGAAAATTTTTTAAAATATTTAATTTTTACATATTGTTTTATTATTCAAAGGTCCTTTCCACAATCCCCGTCATGTTTTCATATTCAGCAAAACCTCAACATACTCTTGATTTGGCGCGTTATCTTAATGATCACATTGCACAAGTATGTGACGAAGATCCAAAACGGTTTATTGGACTTGGTACACTTCCGATGCAATCACCTGAATTGGCAGTACAAGAACTTAAAAGATGTGTTAACGAACTTGGTCTTGCTGGTATTCAAATTGGAAGTCATGTTAATGAATGGAATCTGGATGCACTAGAATTGGATCCAATTTGGGAGGTTGGTTTTTTTTTTCCCTTTATGATAAGTTATTAATCCTCTATTTTTAATATTAAAAATATAATTTTAATAATAGGCATGTAACGAGCTTAAAGTTCCAGTGTTTATCCATCCATGGGTGAGATATTTCAACGGTTCTATAAAAATTTTTTTTTTTTTTTTTATTAAAGTTTTATTTATTCTGAGGCCAAATTTTTAGGATATGGAAAACAAAGGTCGAATGGAAAAGTATTGGTTTCCATGGTAAATATAATAATATTTTCAATAAAATACTAATTCTTTAAAAAAGTCTTCTACAACCAAAACACTAGATAACCTAGCAAAACTCCATACACAATCTCAAAGATTCCGTCGTGAATTAGATAACGATTTGAAACAACTATGTAATAATTATTCCTTTTCTCATTAAATTTTTTTTATCTATATATTTTATTGTGAAATAAATGAATCTTGTCTCTTCATTTTAGACACCACCGATGAAACAGAAATAAATGAATCTCTGGAACATTTTGTCATGGAACAAAGGCAAATTAGAAAGTCCTTGGTTAAATCTAACAAGGTATCTTAAAAATATATAGTCGCGTTTTTTTAATGTTTTCGAAATCACATGGATTTACTATATTTGTACTTTTCAAAAAAGGAAATTCATGATATGTCCGCTGTCAAAAGAATGTTATCAGAAATTTAAAGAAAACGAGTAATAATATATAATAAAATGGTATTACGTAATGTAATTTCATTAATTACATACAGTAATATCGATATTATTAATATAGCTTTATTAAATCATATACATAGTATAATTTATTCACTATATAATAAATTTTACTTTCTAAGATACATTTCTTTCTTATGTTCTATTCCTAGAAATTTCAAAACATTTCCACTTAACAATTTTTCTTTATCTTCATCACTTAACCAATCACATTCTTCAATCAACTTTCCAGGGTGATGTTCACCAAGTGGAAAAGGGTAATCGCTACCTAACATTATTTTATTAATACCTATCTTTTTAATTAGAAATTGAAGTGTATCCTCATCATGTACGAGTGAATCAACATAAATACGATTAATGTATTCTCTTTATATGTGAAAAAAAAAACATGAATAAGAATAAATTTTACTATTATAAAAATTGAAAAAAATATTTATGAAAAAAATTAATATACATACAAAGGACTTTTTTTTATCTTTGTAGCACATAAATCAGGTCGAACATTGAAACCATGTACAATACGTCCTATGGTTCCTGGAAAAGAGCCACCTCCATGAGCAAATGATACTTTAAGATTAGGATAACGTTCGAGAACACCTCCAAATATCAATGAACAAATTGCAATTGTTGTTTCGCAAGGCTATTAAATAAAAAAAATGTACATCTATTTTAGAACCTGTGTTACACGAATTATTTTTTTTTGGGTTAACGCGGTATTATATAAAAGTGCATGAGAATAATCTATCAAAAGTAACTCATTATGTACAGTTACTCTCACGCATTCATAACGATAAGGTTTTTTGTAACCGCGCGGTTATTATGTAACCACATCCCGCAAAGCAAATTTCAAGATCAGATGTAACGGGAATCGCTAATAACGTTTTGCATTCTAAAAAAAAAAAAAAAAAGTTCATTGCATATACAGTACGTAAATTAACTTAATCACAAAATGTTTTTAATATAAAGAAATTGTTTTTGTTATTCGGGTTACACCTGATCTTAGTTATGGTTACAAAACAACACAGCTCTTTTAAATGAAATAAATGTACCACAGGTACAGTATAGAATTATATGAGTGATTCAAGAAATCTAAACATTCTAAATATATAATTATTTTTTTTATAACGATTAATGATTATTTCAATTACTGTACGTATTATAATGAATTATATTTTTTCAGTATATATTTAGATTTTCATATTTTTCATTTGTATCACTCATATGCGTGCGTGATTATTACATACCATTCCGATAAGCCTTTTTTAAATAATTAAAGGAATTAATAAATTGTTTAGAATTATTATTATTATTATTATTATTATTATTATTATTTTTACCATGGAAACCAATACTTTTCCATTCGACCTTTGTTTTCCATATCCTTAATATT